TAGGTGAGGAAATTGAAAATACAGTTTTTAAAAAATGTAAAACTGGGTTTTTAGTACCAAAATTTAACGTTTTTCAAAAACTAATGTAAGATTCGTAATCAGCGTCGAAAACTGCATCTAGTGATATGCTCCTATCAGTTCTACTCTAAAATAATTTTTTCAAAAACTTGATCAGCGAAGTCTCGAGTTACGTGGACACGCCGTATGATAAATAAATCCGACTTAGATACAGTGTTTCTCTTCGTATAATAAACATACCTGTTGAGTCGATGGTTGTGACATTAATCTATTCGAAATATAATCTAGTAGCCAATCTCCATTTCTCAAATGAACAGGCAATGCACTTTTAACGTAATCTTGTGTTTGACGAATATTTTCCAACTCCGACATGATACCTTGTAGACCAGAGTAAACTAGTCGTTTCCCGTAGTATTTCTTCGGTGCTTCTTGTCTGTGTTGCTGTACGCCCGGTGGCGGTGCCGGAATTTCATACACATCATAGCCACAACCATCCGACTGTTCTTCGGGTGAACAACGATACAAAATACGATTCAAGTCCACCAACGACAGATGTCTGACAATTGAATTGAAATTCGTTTCGGTAGAACTGGAATCAGAATCGACTGTAACAACATTTACATATGAAACGGACTGAGAATCTGACAAAAGAAATTTGGAAATCGTTCTCTAGAGTGTTTTTTGAGAAATTTTGCACTTTTCCGACGTGACATAATAGAAACCGATGGGTTTCTATTCTGGGAAGGGATTTAATCAAGTGATGAACACCGTTCGTACACTTACGCTTTTTTAGCCCTACATAGTTTTGAGTTGTTCGCCAATGCAAAACTTCCATAGAATATACAGCTTTGAATGCTCTATCGAATGAGGCCACTTTAAACGAAATCAAACTATGCATGTTTTAAAAATTCGGTTTTTGATCAAAAGATTTTCTAGATAGTCTTTGAAATGTTTTTAAATATGCAGGTTGATAGAGCATCAGATTATGAGTAAAATGATGTGTCACTCAAATTTCTGAGACGCTTGGTAAAGGAACTGCAATGTTCGAGATTCTGCCGAAGAAAACAAATTGATCAAAAACTGGATTTTTGAAAAATGCATAGTTTGGTTTCGTTTAAAGTAATCTTGTTGGATAGAGCATTTAAAGCTGTGTATTCTATGAAAGTTTTGCATTGGCATTCGTTTTCGGTCGACCGTGGCAGAAAAATTACGAAAATGTAATACAAGGAATTCAAGCTTTTTCGGCTTGGAATGGGATTTCCAGAATGAAAATCAGCCTTTTGAACTTTTTAAACAGCATATTCTGAAAGTCCACTCCGCAAGCAAATGTACCTTCGTTCCGCTTACTTTTCCTGAGCAAAGAAAGCAACAAGGCAAAAATGCATAATAGGAACGTTTTACTGACAGGTTCTTTTCGACTAACATACCTTGATGCGGTTGTAATTGTCTTAAATATTTCTTCACTTGTTCAATTACTTGTTTAATCCTCGGCAGCAAGCTGACTTTCAACGCCATCACGCTTCCCGGTACGAATTCGTCGTTTTTAAACCACAGACGATGTTCTCCCGTGCTAGCTACTTGTGATTCATCAAAGTGAACCGAGTGACATTCATCGATCTTCAGGTGTTCTCTTATACTAACATGTACTGGTTCCGGTGTTTGAAAACCATTAATGAGTTCCGGATTACGAACGAATTCTCTTAACAAATCATCCGTTGATTTCCATGGTAACGTTTCAATTTTCATTTCATAGAGTATTTCGTCGATTTGACCTTGAATTTGAAGTGGCTTGATTTCGTGACGTTCGTGAAGTTTGTATTTGTCAAAAGCAGTGTGAACAACGAGAATAATCGCGTCGTGGGTAGTGGGATGAGCACGGATAACAACTATAACGAAACATAATAAGTATCACTGAGAAACACATTTTAACACCCAGACTTTAGACACCCGGCTCGGTAAAACACTCATTCATCACTCACTGACACCCCAATACCGATTAATCACGTATATTGAACATCAAAATGGCTATTGTCACCGTCTTCCTTGATTATTTACAAAAAGAGCAATGAACGAACATTCACGATTTTATTATCATAAAAAGTAAAGAAAAACGTTTTCGAATAAAAACATCCATCTTCTACATATTATAGTGTTATGGCACTGCAATATATAAAAAGAAACGCTCGACTATCACTGCTAAGATAAACGATATTCAACCTTTTCCTGATTTACGCCGAAGTTTTAAGCTTGTATCGAAGAAATTACAATATCACAAAAAACGTCAAAACAAATTTTTGAAAAACTTTTACCTGAAACTGGAAGCGTTTTCTGAACCTATTGTGGATAAAAAAAACGAATGAACTCGGGTGCATTTTTAATAAAGTTTGACAGAAAAGCGGTACAGACTTGCGGTCTTCACCAACTGGAAGCCAAGACTTGACCGCATCTTTTCATCACGAAAGCCATTTTGAACGTCTTCTTTCAAAGAGGGTATTGCAGAGGATCTTTAGAAAACCATGTTATTACTAAAAAAGTTATAATAAAAATATATGTTGTTGTTTTTTCATTGGTAGGTAATCTAAAGTGTCCTCTTCAAAATGGGAGGGAAGAGAGACCTCAATTTTCAGCGATTCGGTCGTGGTATTGAACTTCACTGGAGTCCCAGGATCGGTATCCGGTTCCTTAGACCGACCTTGTGAACGCACGGAACATACATAATCGCCAATGCTGAATCTCGTGGCAATGTTTGTTTTTAGGAATAATAATAATAATAATTTAATATTAGAAGAAAAGAACGTAGAACTTCAGCTTCTGTAAAACTCAGTTTTCACCAGAGTTTTGGAATCTTCCTAAAAACAAACATTGCCACGAGATTCAGTATGGTCGACTACGTATGTTTCAGGTCAGTCTAAGGAACCAGATACCGATCCTAGGACTCCAGTGAAGTTC